GCCAACACTGGTGAGAACAGCTCCATATGTCTGTTAATATATGCCTAAACTCAACACATCTCCTTCACCTCTACACAAAAAGACCAAGTGAAATTTTGTGGCATCTTGTCTTTCTTGATGATTTCAGTTTTACCCCAGCTGCTGCCCATGGCCACAGGCATGGATTTATTATTTATTTACACAGCCGTCACGGCGCTATCCTGGCCTGCGCTGAGATCACTCATGCTCTCTATGAGCTTGCAACCCAGAACAATAGGTTACACCCGCTTTTCTGTTAAAGCGTTGCCTAACCATGCTTTTATTTTACTTAATGCATTTGTTTCCTTGTAGTTCGGTGACTGACTTCCTGTCCTCCGACACCATTGAAGGCCTAAAAAACATTCATCAAAAGGTCTGCAGAATTAGTCTCTTGTGTTATTTTGTGAAATATAAAACAAAAGCAGTGTATTGCAACTGATATGTGCTCAGCTCTCTGACAGAAAGCAGTACAGGTAAGCACTTGCTTCATCACCTGGCAATAATCAACATCAAAGCTTTTTAGAGGCACTTATTTGTCTATAGCTTGTAACTGATGTTTTTTTTTTTTTTTACCCTAGGGGATTTGGTGGAGAGCTAATGAGACCAGCTGGTAAGAAACTAACGATCATTTACAGTTATTCTATAGAATTGATTGCTTCTTGTGTTGAAACGATAAACTGCTATTATAAAGCAAGTCTCATTACTATTGTAACTCAGTATGTTGTAAGACATTTGAGCAGACCCCAAAATTTAGCTTTCTGCTACAGACATGAATAAAACCCCAAATTGTGTGGCTTGATGAGGAGAGGTGTGTAACACTTCTAATATAATTTTGGCCTGCCAGACCATAAAAAGGGTGCAGAAAATCATGTACAGTGAAGGGCCTAAGTCATATGCTGCAGTAACATGCTAAAACCACTCAGGGCTCAGTGTTTCAAAGATCTTCCTAAGAAAGAAGTTAACAATTTTTCATAAGATAAATTCTAAGAATGTTCCAAATGCAATTCTTGAGAAATTCTTAAGAAGTTCTCAAATGTTTTCTAAAAAAAATTTTTTTTTTTTTTTGTGCTCGCTGAAATGACTGTATCCTGTAGTGTGGTTACAGAATTTCTAAATGCATAATTTACATTACTGATCTATTGGTTCATTTGAAAGTACTTCTGCACATCCCTAGTAATATGTGTCTATGTTATAATGTTTAATATTTGAAACAACCTGATACTTTTATTAAGCTTCTTACCTTTGGTGCTTTAAGAAAGTTGGAGGTTATATTCACTTTAATAGCTTATTTCCAATAATTCTTAAGAATTTTTTTTTAAGAATTACAATTTGTGTGTTTTGTCTTTAGAACAATTTTAAGATAGGAC